TCCGCGGCTTAGTAAGGATTAAAGCTTTTTAATCCGGGAAGACCTTTATATTATATAAGTAAAGGGGAAATATCTAATTAACCCTCGGAACGCGCCCGCTTTCTTATTATTCCCTTAATTAAGAAGGATAGGCCGAAATTAAGAAAAAGATAACTAAAATAAAGAAAAAGTACGCCGATCGGATTAGATCGGTAAGGATAAATTAAGTTAAGTTAGCCGTAAAGTAATAGAAGGGCTTTCTTATTATATTAAATAATAAATTAAAGGCGCGGCTTTAGTAATTAAATAATAACTAGTAGAATAAAGTTTCGTAATAATTTTTAATAAGAGATATTAATCGGGATATACCGTATTATGTTTTTTAATTTAATTATTTCTTACGGTATAGTAAAACTAAAGAAGCTATAATAATACGGTAAGATATACCTTCTTAATATATTATATAATATATTACGATAGGTCGTATACTTATATAGAATAACCATAGCTCCTATAAGTACGGGTTATACTATACTTATTATTAAGTTTACTACCTAATTAAATTAATATCTTTATTATTTTTATCTTAATTAAAGATTCATTTTTATTATTAGATTCGCCGTTCTCTAATTAATATATTTATTTTAATTATAGGCGCTTACGTTACTTCGTCGTACCGCTATAGCCGAATAAGTAACTTTTACGTTTTACTTTCTTTTCTCCCCTTACCTCTTATACCTTCGGGTTAGCGACTACTATATCTCTATAACCAAGGGATATAACTAAGATACGATAACTACATTAGATTCCTCGTCTCTCGATTAATATAGTAATATTAGTTTTATTCGTCTTAGATCATCGTACGACCTATAGTTTTCGATAGAGTATACTTTCGAGTGAACCTATCCGGGACTCTAGCATCGCGTACGCTCTGCTCCTCTTTACTATCCTTATTCTTTAAATTACCTTACGGTATTCTCGCTTAACGAGTATTTTAATAGCTACCTCGGTAGAAGTAATTTATTTACGGAAGATCTTTACGAGGTTTTAAATAATCGAATCGAGCTTTAAGAATTAGATCTTTATATTAGCTATCTTAAGAAAGCCTGTAAGAGATAGTGTCACAGAGCAGTTGAACCAGCCTTATAAGCCTACATACCGCAAAGCGTGAATGTAGGCGTCTACGTTTTACGTGACAGATAGATACGAAAATCTAGCCATAGAAAACCTTAAATTACTTATCAATAGCTATAGTTTAAGACTCGATCGTTATTTATTAAGAAACGAGCTTATTATAAGAAGTTATTTATTACTTTCGAATACGAACTTTAAACTTTATTGGTTAATCTTCTCATTTTTCGGAATCGAGCGTAACCTATTCGTAAATCGCTTTTTTATAGTTATTTTTAAGGGAAGCGTTTTCTTAAGTAATATATTCCTTAAAAGTACTTACTACGGCGCGATGAGGGTTAAATTTAACTCTGTTTAGGTTAACGTCTTTTTAAATACTAAATTAAATAGCTATTGATTTAAACGTAAGGAATTAACGTAGCTATTTATCGTAAGCTCGTAAATATACGTTAATTAAAATCTTATTTAGAGAAAACTCGGACGGATTAATCAATATAACGAATAAGTAAGTAACTATCTAGTAATAAATACGGGAATAGAATACTTATATATAAATAAGAAAGGAGAATAATCGAAAAATTTAAAAAATAAATTAATATACAATACTTACTTACGCTTGAATAACCTAAGTAATAATAACTCCTTAGAAGTACCCCGAGCTTATAATCATAACGTAGTTAGTTAGAATAACGTATAACTTATAAGGTCGCGCGTATAAAGAGTAATGAAATACAGATAAGAACATATGTGTTAATTAACTCGAGAAAAGGAAATATATTAAAGAGTATAGAGTGATCTATAAGTATATATAGAAGTATTTAACCAGCTTAGGTAAGCTGGGTAGTTGCTACTAGGGGTAATTACGTACCTACGTGATATTTTATAAATAAAGTACGATATAAATTCTAGCTGCATATATTACGGTTTTACGAGCTATTCGCTAGGTAAAAGCCGTATATTAATAAACTAAAGCTAAACGAGGAGAAAAGAAAAGAAAGTAAAGTATACCCTATAAGCCGTACTTATAATAGCTAGCCTTATCCTCCGTAAGTATTGAGGAGTTGATTACGTACCATGCCTTAGTATTAGCTAAGGCCTTATAATAAGTTACACTTATTATAATAAATACCTTTTTAATAAAAAGGTTTCTACTAATATTAATACTTCCAGAAAATATATTACTTAAGAAAGAATTAGTAAATTCATTTTTAAAAGAGAAACGAAGATAATACATTAAAGAAAATAATTAATGAAAAGATTAAAAAGATAAAGATAGATAATAAGATTATTGAAAAGCTTATATGATATAATCCTAATAGATTTAGCTTCTTAAGAAAGGTATCAAGTTTATAATCATTACGTAAATTAAGAAAGCTATATAGAAATTAAAGTTACTTTATTAAAAGCAATATAATATACATAGAAAAAGTTTAATTAATGAAGTAATTAAAAAGGAAGAAAATAAATAAAAGAGATATAAACTATTTATATATAAGTAATAAGGAGCTATAAGCTATATTATATAAGCAAATGAAAAGTTAGATTAGGTAAGCAAGTAACTAAAGAAGGAGTACAGAGCTATGTATAATTAGTGTAGTAGTGCGGTGGATCTAGGCTACGTAGCCTTTTCGATGTTTATTTATATGGGTTGCGTACTTAAATTTTCATTAGTTAGACTTAGACCTATAGTCATTACGACCTTATAGCTATTTACTCGTTTTTTGCCATGCCTTTTCTCGCTATCTTCGTTGCCTTTTATTCTAGTTACCTTTCCTAGCTGCCGTTTTTAGCTAGCCGATTAACTGATTATAGCTATTTATAGCTATAATCTTAGTTAATCGGTACTAGGCTAGTTATTAGCGGTTAGGTAGTCCTTTTCTCGTACCTCTATTATAGCGTGCCTACGCTACTTCTGTTTAATAGTAATTACCTAGTAGCTCGAGCCGTAACCTTACCTTAGTCTTAGGAGTGACCTTTTGCGACCGTTTTTATAGTTAATAGGTTTAAGATACGCCGATCGGGAGATTCTCTGATTTTTAACTAATTAGGAGTTATTTTCGTAGCTCTAGAGCCGTTTTCGTAGCTTTCGGATTAAGCCTTTTTAGGCCATAGCCTTTTTAGGTAGCTGGATTAATAGGGAGGGTAGATAATTATGGCGATCATTAATAACTACGCCCTCTTATTAGCTTTTAATTAGCTTACCTAAAAGCTCGTTCGCCGATTAATAGATCTATCTTATCCTCGTTTCTTAGTTATTTCTTTTAAAGGAGCTATACCCGTTTTACCCGGTTTCGCCTTCGTTTTTTATTAGTACCTAGATGGTATTTTTTCGCCTTTAGTTAATTTAATTCCGTTACCGCTACCCCCCCTTTTTTATAATAATAACCTCGTACGCGCTTAAAGGCATCCGTTCGTTATTAATTAGTTTATTTTAATTATAAGAGGCTTACCGATAGCTCGATTGCCCTTGTTTTATTCCTGTTAGCTAGTTACGGTACCTAGGGAGGTTTCTCTTTGCCTCTTTAACCGATAGGTACTACGATGCCCTTATAATGAGATACCGATATACCTTATACCTACGAACCTAATCAAGGAATCTACCGGTTAATACGAAGACTTATAAACGATACCGATACAAGATAGATACGATATTAAATAAGAAAGCCTAAGAAAATAGAAATAACTATAGGATAGAAACGAGTTATAGGATAATACCTAGAGACCCCTCTTATCGCCCTTACCGATATATGGTTAGTAGGAAGAGCCGTAAATGAGCTCTTAGAACTACGTATAGGGGAGGGATCGAGGGTTAAGAAAAGCCTGATAGATACTGCCGGACGAATAATAATTAGAAACGAGTCATAGTCGGGTATGAATAGGATATATTAATTAGTTTATAGGATTAGGATTAATTAAAAAGATTAATAGCTATAGACGAGAAGGACGGAGATCGCGTTACATTATATGGGATTATTTCTTTGGTTTTTTCGGAAGCTACGCTTGTTTTACCTGCCCCGTTATAGTTCCTATTTCCTAACTATTGATCTCTGTTATTTCATAATGGCCTTAATGGACCTGGCTCGCTCCTAGTTAATTAAGGTTAATTAGGAATAGGTCGATTAGGTTAGTTTATAGGTTATAGTTCCGTTAGCCTAGTTGTTTTTGTTATTAGATCTTCCGTATTGTTTCCTAATGGCCTTTAGAGTGAACTAGCTTAGCTCCTAGTTAGCTACGGTACCGGTTAGGTTTAGAATTAATTAGGATTAGGATTAGGTTTAGGTACGGCTATAGTCAGTTACCTACTTTACTATCTACTTATTACTATTATAATCGCTCCTAGTTAACCTATTCCCTAACTTATCCTATTAGCCTTTAATTCAACTAGCTAGCTTTTAGTTAATTAGTATTAATCGGAATTAGGTTAATTAGGCTTAATAGGAACGAGAGCTACCGTATTTATTATTAGGAGTTTAATTACTCCTTGCGGATTAATTAAACTAAGGAAGCTGTAATAGTACGGTAGATCTAGGCTACGTAACCTTTTCGATATTTATTTATATGGGTTGCGTACTTATATTTTCATTAGCTAAACTTAAACCTATAGCCATTACGACTTTATAGCTATTTACTCGTTTCTTGCTATGCCTTTTCTCCCTATCTTCGTTGCCTTTTATTCTAGTCCCCTTTCCTAGCTGCCGTTTTTAGCTAGCCGATCAACCGATTATAGCTATTTATAGCTGTAATCTTGGTTAATCAGTACTAGGCTAGTTGTTAGCGGTTGGGCAGTCCTTTTCTCGTGCCTCTATCATAGCGTGCCCACGCTGCTCCTGTTCATTAGCTTTCTATATAACAAGTATATAACTAACTTTAACTGCATATCACGATCTAAATTTAAAAAATATAACCTTGTAGTTGAAGATTCGTATATATAAGCGATTATTTTATATAAAATATATTTTCACCTCGGTATATAGCAAAAGCGTAACGAAGAAGCCCAGAGCGTAGCGCAACGTTATCAACTACTATATCATGTGTGAGGTAGTTTTTTAATATTCAAGAGGTGGCCAAGTGGATTCTCAGAATACTCTATGTCTCTGGTGCTATTGTAATATAACAATCAATTATACCACAATGCTGGTTGCAGGAACACCATGTAGGGATCCCACCGTCACGCTGGAAGCTTCTACCAGTAGAATGAAAACTCGTTACTTGGTAGTGTAGCTCCCCTCGCGACCGTCGAATCATGAACGTAATTCCACCCCTGGAGCTGCTCATAGAGCATTCGCAATAGCTTCTTCACGTCCCACCTCGGGATCTGCGTCCTTTGCCCATATTGTGTTCTGCATGGGCCTCTTATGGTGATAGTTGATCTATCCGATACCCAATTATCATCAATATCGCGAACCATATGCTTGGCAAATTTGTTGATATGTTCACGAGGGTCGGATAATATGACTATCTCGGAAGTCTGAACGCCTTCAAAGAGGCTACTTGGATCCACCAGAGATTGCTCTGTGTCCAATGCCATCCAGTGCTTGGGCCGGTGGAGAATACTAGAAACGTATTTCCCAGCAACTCGCGCGAAGTCTGTGAGCGCCTCCATCACGTGGACGATGTCCCCTGCTGCCCGGGGTGCTGGTTCGTTGATTAAATAAGCTGCCAGAGACGGCGATAGTAGGTTGAGGAGAGTCATGACCTGGAGAAGTGAGTAAAGGTGCTCGGGACGGAATTCGGTAGCGTTGAGCGCCCGAAGTTGTTGAAGGCCAACTAGAGTGAATTGTAGTAGCACTAGAAGACCTTCCGCGTCTTCGCTGCCGATTGCCCTGTGAATACAGGTTGCTGCAAGCTGCGCGCTGAAGGCGCCGACGTAAGTATCTAGTAATACCCACGCATCGGGCGCTCCGAGGGCAGTATTGATGATCGCCGGGAGCATTCTACCCAGCATGAAAGAGAGAACATGGTGATGGCTCATCCCTTGCTGCAGTATTGATTTTTCATCTACAAGCTTGCCGTTGGCAAGCGCCAGTTTAAAATTGGGGAACAGGAGATAGAAAAGCCCAGGAACCGCCTTTGTGTCTCCCTCCTCGAGTTTGAGGCCCCATGAGAGTATGCTCGCTATTTGCAGGCGAGGGTCTTGGCTGGAAGGCGAATACTCTCGGCTGATTTGATAAAAGTAGGAGTCCACAGGGCAGAGGTCTTGCGATCTGATCATAGTGATGATTGACCGGACGAATTCGATGTAACTCGCGTGCTCTGGCGAGCCTAATGGCATTGACTTGAGGTCAAGTTTCATTTGCTCCATAGTAATTTTCAGAGCCTTCGTGAACTGCGACTGCAACAGTGATCTTCGACTCGTTTCTGCAAACCGTAAAGTCCTACGCATCACGGCGACCACATCTAGCTGGTTTTAGTAATGTATATCTGAATCAGTAAAAGCAGTACTTACGGCTGAACAAGCCCTTGTTCGAATTGTAATCAGGACTATCGCCGTTCCCTATAACCGAGTCCTTTAAAAGGGGGTTACCACGGGTTTGGATGGCTAGGGCGAGCTGGTTTTCATAGGCTAACAAGTGGAGAGGCTTAGCGAGCTCTACCATCAACAAGTCGATGACTGTTCTACCCAGGTCCTTATGAATTATTAGCGATGATTCATCACAATGCGTAAAATCACCAAACCTTGAAATCATCCACGCCATGCTCTATTAACATAGCTAAGAAGAGAGCGCGGTACCTTCTCGAAAAGGACGAGGCAGCTTCCTTCGCACCAGGAAATATAGAGTACTTCCCAGCTAAGAAGAACTGGGACACGCGCTGAAGGGCATGTTAGCTTTTAGCATCGATTCTAGTTTAGAGGCACCTACCGAAAGCCGTGAATGAATCAAGCGCGCTGCCTGGCGTCCTGCAATAACCACAGCCTGCTCCATACATACGGCGCGACCGCTGACGGGGCCGAGTTCCTCTTCCTTGAATTTCATTTCGGCAATGACACTAAGCATGGAGAAGAAAGGAGGGGCTATTTTCCGATCGATAAGCTAGGTAGGTTAGTCGTTAAGCATATCATTAGGATGACAAGGGCCAGAAGCCTACCATGATCGCATCTTCTCCATGCCACGAATATTCGGGGTTCTCGGGAGGCTGCTTCAAGAACCCTTCGATCCGCGAGACGTAGTAGTCGAGAATATCTAGGGCGGGTCGTAGGCTGCTCCAATCAAAGCTCGTTGAAGAGAACGGGAAGCGCGTGAAAACCTGGTCCAGCTGATCTACGTAAAATGAGGATATGCCCGCAGTCAATCCACAAGATTGAACTTACAATGATTCACGGCGAAGGATACGGCAGCCAGCGTCCGAGAACTGCGAATGACGTCTAAGAAACCCTTCATCGAGAAGCGAAGTATATCCATCGCGCCTTTCTTGTTCGATTGGATCACGGTATTTATTACGTCTCGGTTAATGCCTTTCGAAGTAGCCTTGGGCATTCTAGAAAGTTGCTGCTGGACATCGGATTCGGCTGACAAGTACTGTTCCATCACCTGCTGGAATACATTCTTCTGCCAGTCGGCAAATGGTTTGTACGAAACAATGTCATCGTCGGACGAGATCGCGAACCGGGCTAGTTGGCTCCAGGCTCGTAAGCTAATCAAACACGCCTCCTTGTGAGAACTGCCGGGCACCACCAGCTTCTCGATCGTCTGGACGGATGGTCGCAGACCGGGCGGCGCGGCCCAAAAGAGCGTACAGAGAAGGTCGTGGTGGTTCCTTAGGGCAGCTAGCTCGGTCTCGTGGATGTCGTCCTCCTTGCTGTATTGACGGTTATGATTTGGAAGCACCCTCGCCACCATATTTTTTACGTCCTTGGTCAAGCCGTAGCTTGTCAAGCGTTGGATAGATAGCGCCAGGAGTTTCAGAAATATATGGAAGCACCTGTCTTCGGATAGAATGGCGAGCGACGGAGATCCCGTGAGGCGTTCGAGGAACTCGGGGGATCTATATACCTCCTCGTTGCGTAGATTTGAAAGGCCACGAGAGGCAAAGAAGTCGAAGATAGTTCCGATGACACCATTGGATTTGCGCCATCCCCACTGCTCTACGAGATAATGGCAACGGCTAATCATACCTCGACAATAATCGTTGAAACTTGGGGCTTGACGTGAATTGCTCTCGTATAACTGGAAGATGCACCTGAGTAATCTCTGCGGTAAGATCCAGCCTTCCAAGGGACTCGTGTGCCTGATACCAGGAACAACAACGCCGGCATTGTCGAATTCGCCGAGGGGAAGTAAAGTAAAAAAATTGTACCATATTTGTTCGAGTGTGTGCGCGTCGCTAACTGGACCGGGGACGCGTTCCAGCATGACGGACGACACGACATCCCAGAACCCTGCCTTTGGGATACGTGCCTCTTCAAGAACCCGGATGAGGACGACCCAGCATATCATCGAATGCTGTTCGTCGCGGATGCCCCTTTCTCGAAAGGGTATACGCCGCAGCTCGTAGTACAAACTCCGGATATCTATTAGTTCGGTCTCAAGCAACTTGCGGGCGGTTCTCTCGGCGATGTTCCTTAGCACTCCTTCAACCTGGAGTCTTTGCGATAGTTGGTCGGGGTCACGGCAGATGTGCAATAGTTGTGTTAAAATGATCAGGCAGCGACTGAGAACGTCGATGAGCGGCCGAGTTCTGTAGTGAGGAAGAGGTGGTAGGCTCTCCAAGCGGTGCACAAAACTTTGCAAAATTTCCAAGGATCGTCCCACGAAATGTCTCTCACTCTCCTGGTCGGAGAAGCTGATGGAACTCTGCAAATAATTCAGAACGAATTCGGTAGCCTCAACTAGAACTGTGCCGTTTTGAGGATCTGGGGAATCTGAGTGCAAGTAGTCCGCGATCCAGTCGAATACAATACCCAACTCTGATGAGGTTTGTGCCTCCCACAGGCCCCATCGTAATACTTTTTTATCAAGAACGAATGTCTGTCGGCCTCGTGGGTGATACAAGTTTTCGCCAGTCTTCCCGTTCAAGGCCTTCACTAGTCGACCGCTACCGAGAAGTGTGCTCTCGTGGAGGAACGCCCCTAGATCTAAGGGAAATATTTCGAAATGTTGGGTGTAGTGCGTGCCAAACGGACCAAGCCCCGATAACTTGACGCCAGCTTCTGCGGAATTAGTTGATTCAACGGGGCTCATGGGACGTATTTCGCGTGGTAGAGGGTCATTAGCGTGCGTATACTGAGGAGCGGCAGTATCCACGTGTGTAGGCCGGAAGCCCTTCCGAAATCTTGACCGCCCACGTGTTGACGTAGTAGGGTTCGGACTTGCGGTATTGCCCACAGACGGTTCGTTGTGCCTGGGAAAGCTCCGGGGAGAACCATTGCCACCCACAGGTTGTTCAAGCTGTAACTCCTCGAGGGTATGTAGCGATCGACGCGACTTTCGGTATAGGGCATCAAGAGCCCTTTTCTGTGCATGAAATGCGTGCCGCCCAACCTTCTCGTCAGCCGTTTCAAGCTGAGCGGGCCTCGAAGCTACATTGTGAACATGGTTGGAAAGAGAGATATCGTCTATAGGCCGAGTTGGTGTGGTTATGGTTCCCGTTTTTATTTCCACAAAATCGCGGATACTTGTCTGTTTAGACATTCGACGGGGTTGAAGGAAGCGGCTTGAAGATGGGATATGATATAAGGGCATTTTCGAGAGAGACATCGCCGGCTGTGCCGTATGACTGTGAGTTTGGGGGTGGAGAGGTCTGTACGAATATGATCGAGACGTTACCGCGGTTCTGGAATAAGTTCTCGGTCGGATGCGCCCCCTTTTCCAATCCCTCAGCACGCTGCTCGCATCAATGTTATCTTGACGCGTCCCCAAAGCGATGTGCTTCCTTGTTGGACTTGATCTACCCCGGTCTGACCTCCTGTTAGCTGTCCGGGCAGCTATACGGATAAAAGGGGGTGCGTCTGGTTCGACAACATCTAAGATGCTAAGTCGAGGCGGCCGTGAGGGCTTGGTTGCTCGGCTGCACTCCTGTGTGGGAGGCTTTACACCAGGGTTGCTTTTACCGCGATCACTCTCGCTGCTAAAATCAGCGCATGTGCCTCTCGACCTATTTAACTGCCGTTTGATTCTCTGTTGCCGTTTCGGTTGGACAGTTTCGTCTTCTAGTGTGGCATAATGCCTTTTCCTCTGCTTCCTGGGCCTTTCTAGCATGTCTGATTCCACGGTAGATCGTTTATGTCTTAAAAGCATATTATCTGTATGATCGTCCTCGACAACCGAGCCGACATCATCTTCAAAGATAGAAATATCGTGCTCGGCATTAGCTCTATCCCCTGAAGCCTCATTATGTCGTAAGGTCGTTTCGTCGTTATCCGAGTCATCAAGAAATAAGGCGATGTCGGTGGCAGGCTTTGCCGAGGTCTGCCGACGTTGAGCTACACCTTTCCTCTGGGTCTGGTCTGTGGAGTGATCCGGGCTTCCCTGCAAATTGGCCTTCGTGTTTTTGACGGGAGTGCTTTGCTGATCGAGGCGAAGCCAAGATGCGGGCAATACACCACGTATTCTCCTCATCGCTGCCTGTACCATTCGAGTCTCACTTTCCGAGCCACCGTGAGAATTATCATCCCGCTCGCTACTAGCTTGGGATTGGCTTACTACGGAAGTGAGATCTAGTATACTTGTGCTGTGCTTTGCTGGAATGGGGCTTTGGTCCCGTGGTGCTATTAAATCGCCTGGTTTCGGAATGAACCCAGTGATAACTCTGGCACATTCGGTAGCAGTCGATGGTGAAGCAACGAGCAAATTTGGGCTGTTCCGGGGAGCAGAAGAGGGGATGTCGAAAATATTATTGTCATCTGCTAGATACGGCCTCTCTCTCTCCCCACTAATGGACTGGTATAACTTTGAAGTCCTCTGTTTCCGGGGAGATTTAGGCGAGGCCCGTCCCTTGGAAACGACAATAGGTTTATTTCTTGATTCCCACTTGCTGATGTCGGCTGGGTCAGGAAACTCATCCTCGTCCTCCTGTGAGCTTCTTAATGAGATTTCAGGTTGTTGAATGCTCTCACGCTGGAGGGATCGAGGCCTTATGCCTATCAACTTAGGCTCGTCCTTATCGACATTTTTAAACGGGCCAGGATGTCGCGATCCCTGGCTTTCTCCTAGATCCTCCTGGATAAACCCTTGGATGGTCGATTGACTGTCCCCTTCGTATTCTTGATCTTGGGAATCATCGTCTCGCCTCCTTCCCGCTACCTCCTCAGCCTGCAGCCTCAAGGGTCGTACACCATGTGACCTAAGAGTTTTGCTGTACTGCGCACTTTCTAGTAAATAAGGGTGTTCCTGGATAGGTTTTCGTGGTCGCAATGATCGTCCGTATCGAATCACACTCTCCTCGTCGTCATCCGGTATGTTTACCGATTCTGGCGATGCTTTAACTGGTGGTTTAAGCGTATGCGAATCGATAGGGGGCGATCTTGACGCTTCCGAGCCCTCCAAACCCTCCAATACACGCTCGGTGGCACGCATTGGACCCCTCAGGTTATCGTAGGTTCCATCGCCTGGTGACGATAGAGGCAACAGTGGATCGAGGTGGCGGGGAACATATTGCGCCCCAGATAGCTCGTATGGCTGGGAGTGACCCGGATCGGCATCAATCCTTTCCCTGGGTGCCTGTGATGATGATGGTGATGACGATGAAGGGATATCCCAAATAGGCTCGTTTTTATTTGGCAAATTCTCCACGAGAAACTCATCCTGTGGACCGGCGTCGGCTCGAGGTGACTCATGTTCGGATTCTTCACTGCCATCGAAGGCACTTTCGTCTTCATCCGAATCTGGGACCTCCCCAAGCTCCTTCCATCTCGCCATTGAGACAGTGAAGCATTTCTCTATACCGTGGGAGGCGAGGGAGACAAGGTTAAGTTGGTCTGGATGGATGTCCTTGTGAAAAGAACCAAGTGCCTGGCTAGACGCGTCAAACGCCACTTCAACGCGTATAGTATTTGAGGTAGGTAGGTAGGTGTATAGTGGGGGTAGTAGTTGAGGGCAGTCCCTGTCTCGCGCGAGATAGCCATAATATAGGATATGACATATAACACCCTTATGTGAATATATGCAAATAGGCCTAGGCATTAACATGAATGTTGATTGACTTGGCACTTCAATCAGTGCTCACTTAGTGGTCGGGTACCCGAGACGTTAGTGCCTAGAGAACATGTACCAGGTAACCAAACAGACATATAGGTACATAGCCCCCAATTACCTTAGGTAGTGCCGAGACTTCCCAACTTCCACGTCAAATCTTTTTTATAGGTATTGGATCACTTGATGATGAGCTCACTTGTCCGTGGTTTTCTTCCCATCAGTCTCGCCATCGCGTTTGGGATATGGAATGGTATGCGTTCATAATAACACTACCGGCTCTTTGGAATAAATGCTGAAATTACCAGGTTACTATGCGTTTGACACCTCACTCCGGGAGCAGCAACAGCAAGGCAAACGAGCAACGCAACAGCCCACGACCACAAATGACAGTCAACAACCTCCTAAGGCGCTAGAAGCCGGGCAGCCGGCCCAGCAAAAGTCATAGGAAGACACATCGCCAAGCCGACTGTTGTTGAGCCCTACAGGTTCTGTGGTGATAACCTTCTACTAAGCTAGTCGCTTAGAGGGTTTGGAATTGGGCCATACACCGCTTCAACTTCCATCTCCAGATGCCGTCGACGGGAGTTCGACAGCAACGAAACCGGGGAGCTAAGAGGATACCCCTTCTCGGACGGGGAAGCGGACTCACATGATGGTCTCCGACCGACCCCGTGTACTACAGCAGTACAGATACGACAAATCGCGCTCAGAGAGATACCGATACATATCTAGTAGACTTCGCCACGGTCTTCTCTGACGGCCACGGAACGGGCATCCTATGCCATGCTATGCATTTGCATCCACGTCTATGTGTCGATATGTCCACCTATATCAACCTAAAGCCTGGGTGTGAAATATGTTATAGGCGGAGAATGGGAGGGAGCTAGGTCTCACCCTGTTTACATTAATAAGGCCCAAGCTGCGTGCTGCTGGTTATATATGCTTGAAATATGTAGGTAGGCGTGAGGTCGAATACTTAATTGAATGGTGGTTGGCCATCTCACATTCTACATGCGCCTAGGGGAACGGAGTTTATGATAGGTACCAATTTTGCGTACCTATGATTCATTCTATTAGGTATTTCCAGAGAGCCTAACGTATTCATTTAGCAGTTTAATGAATCGGAACGATCTCTCCTAGTACTTATCCTGCTATCTTGACAGCTATCGACTCGATGAGAGCTGCACGTAAAAGTGACACCAACTTATTCTCTTAGCCTGCCAGCAGCCTGAAATTAGGTACATATGCTTGAATAGTACATAAGTACCAAGTACCTACCATAGCAGGAGGGGGGTCTATGGGCAGTATATCTGCAATACTAATACGGTATGGAAGTAATCTTCAAGCGAGGTAATAATAATGAACGCTTTTATTAGGTATAAAGTACTTATATTAAACTATGGTAAAACCCGTACCGTAACTTTTACTATAAGTATTATAATATAGTTATTTTAATGAAATAAGTATTTATTACCTTCTCGATATTATATCAGTTCAGATATATATTCTAGCTTAACATAGTTTCAAATAGCTATTCTATTCTTAGAAAGAGCTATTAAATTAACATAGCGTTCGTATCGTACCTATATCGTATCTTAAGTTTAATTTACTTTAATATCATAATAGAAATACTTTTAACTATAGTAATCCTTTCCAAGGGTAGTAACAGTACTAGACATACTATTGATAGACCCTCATCCTCCGTATAGTACTTATATAATAAGAAAAAACAGAGAGTATGCGATATTAAAGCCTTGTATAGTAAATACTAAAGTATACTCTATTGGTAACTATAATACGTACGGTAATCTAACATAAAGAAAATTAATATTAACTTATTAATTAAAAGACGAAGAATTTAATAAAATTATTATATTATAAGTTTAGCTTATAGTTGTAAAGTTATAATACTCACAAGCATAAAAGTAAAGAAAATAAAGAGAAAAAATAAATTGAATACAAAAGTTACTTAACTAGTTAATAAAATATAATAAAATAACTAAAAAGAAATTTAACTAAAATAAACATACTAATTAGAATATGGAAATTTTAATAATGAAAATAAAAAGTAAATAAATATAAAAATAATCAAGTTGATAATTTTTTAATATATATTTTTCACATAATTGTAATAGACTATGCTTAATAGTAAAGCCCTAGTTAATATTAAAGCTTAGCATGCAATTACCTTTTTAATACTGTAGTAGTGCGGTGGATCTAGGCTACGTAGCCTTTTCAATGTCTATTTATATAGGTCGCGCACTTATATTTTCATTAGTTAGACTTAGACCTGTAGCCATTACTAGTTACAGCCATTTACTTCTTTTGCCATGTCTTTTTAGCTATTCTCGTTGCCCTGCCGTTCTAGTCCCCCCTTTCTCAGCTGCCGTTTTCAGCTGGCCGATCAACCGATTATAGCTGTTTATAGCTGTGATCTTAGTTAATCGGCACTAGGCTAGTTGTTGGTAGTTAGGTAGCCGTTTTCGTGCCTCCATTATAACGTACCTACGCTACTCCTATTCAATGGCGACCACCTAGTAGCTCTTCCTTACCTCAGTTTTAGGAGCGACCTTTTGATTAACCGTTTTGCAGTTAATAGGTTTAGGATACGACGATCAGGAGATTCCCTGATTTTTAACTGATTAGGAGCTATTTTCGTAGCTCCAGAGCCGTTTTCGTGGCTTTTAGCCTTAGCTTTTTAGGTTAGGATTAATAGGGAGGGCAGATAACTATAGCGACCATTAATAACTACGCCCTTTCATTAGCTTTTAATTAGCTTACCTAAAAGCTCGTTCGCCGATCAATAGCAGTTTTTCTCTTAGTTAATCTAATACCGTTACCGCTACGACCCTTTTTTATAACCTCGCACGCGCTTGAAGGCATCTGTTCTTTATTGATCGATTTATTTTAATTACAAGAGGCTTGCCGATAGCTTTAATCGCCCTTGTTTTATTACTACTAGCTAGTTACGGTACCTAGGGAGGTCTCTCCTTACCTCCCTAACTAATAGATACTACGATGCCCTTATGTCACGGTTTTAAGAGCTATTCGCTAAGTAAAAGCCGTATATTAATAAACTAAAGCTAAACGAAGAGAAAAAGGAGAAAAAGGTACGCCGTATAAGCCGTACCTATAATAGCTAGCCTTATCCTCCGTAAGTATTAAGGGCCTAATTACGTATTATGCCCTAGCACTAGTTAGGGCCTTACTATAGGTATAGCTTATTATATAAGGTCCCCTCCCGGAAAAAAAAAAGTACGCCTTACCGCCCTTTTCTTCGGCGTTTAGCCCTAATAACCTAATCCGTTTTTTTCCCGCGCCTTAGGATACGTACCGTATCTTTAGATACTACCTCCGTCCCCCGGGATACGTTACTCGCTTCCCGGATTATTAATTCCGTCGCTTAAGGTATTAATATATTTCTAGGCTTCCTTCCGTTCGTACGTTTTCTAAGGTATTAATACCTTCCGGGTATAGCTTCTTTTTTCTTTTTTCCGGCGGTTATATTATATCCCGGGGTCTTCTCTTCGTCTACCGTTTCTTTCCCGGGGCCTTTCGTTTCCCGGGGTATTACGCCGGGCGCCTCTAGCCTCCTAGTACTCTTCCCCCGGGTCCTATTCTTTCCTAGGATTTCCTTTTCCGCCGTTTCCGTTTCCCGGGTTACGTTATCCGTTTCCCGGGTTATTATCTTCGTTTCCCGGGATATTACTACTTTCCGAAGGTTATTAATCCCGATCCTTTTATTAAACCGTAAAGCTTTAAAGCCTTACGTACGAAGTTACTTATAAGCGCTTATTAGGTCTAGTCTAACTCCCGTAACTACGGGATCGTCGGTCCGTTTACCGCCGTTTAAAGACCTTCGTTTATCTTCCGTTCGTTAGCGGAGCCCGAAGGAATCCGCCTAAAAACGCGTTAGGGCGCGCCTTCTTATCTATTACCGTTAAAAGGCCTACGGCCTCTCCTACCGTTTAAAGGTTAGGGGCTTATCCTTCCGTATTATTAACGGAGCGGCGAGGCTCCGCCGGAAGACGTACTAATAATACGCCGTCCTTATTCGTTTAAAAACCATCGTTTATCTTCCGCTAGCGGATCCTGTCGGATCCGCTAAAAGACGTATTAAAATACGCCGTCCGATTCGTTTAAAGACTATCGTTTATCGTATACCGCTAGCGGAGTCTAAAGGGCTCCGCCTAAGGACGCGCGGAGGCGCGCCCTCCCGTCTACTACTAGCGCCGCTAGCGCCCTTATCGATATTAAAAGACCGGTGGTCTCTCCGTAAACCGCTAGTACCTCTAGTGCCCTTATCGAAGTACTATTATCCTAACGCCGTTCCTTCTTATGTTACGCCTCGGGCGTTCTTAACTCTCGACGAGCGCTATACTCTAGCGCTTTACTATCTTTCTCCGGAAAAAAATTTTCCGCCGTTTTTAGCCGTATTTTTCGTTATTCTTATCTCGAAATTACCGTTTAAATCTACGTTTTTTCTAGGTTTATCGGTCGTTTCTTTGGTTATCTTATATCGGTTCTCGTTCGTAGGTATTACCGGCGCGTATATCTAAAAGCTAATACCGCCTTTCCGACTACTAACTTTACCGTACGGTATCGCCTTTCCTACTACTAATCCTACGTACTAAGATATTATTTCGTCGGTCCTCTTCGTAGGTACCGCCGGCGGGTATATCTAAAACTAATACCGCCTTTCCGACTACTAGCTTAGTACCGCTTTTCTAAGAGCTACATCGCCGTTCCTGCTATTAATTCCGCTCGCTTCGATGCTACTTCCGTAAAACGATAAAAGAAAGTTAGTCTAGCTTTTTATTACGGTTTTAAGAGCTATTCGTTAAGTAAAAGCCGTATATTAATAAATTAAAGCTAAACGAAAAGAAAAAGGAAAAAAAGGTACGCCGTATAAGCCGTACCTATAATAGCTAGCCTTATCCTCCGTAGGTACTAAGGGCCTGATTACGTACTATGCCCTGGCACTAGCCAGGGCCCTACTATAGGCATAGCCTATTATACCTTAATTACTAAGAAGATAACCGACATACCTTATACCTACGCTATAAGCCTAATCGGGGACATACCGATTAGGATTAAAGACTTATATAGACGATACCGCGATACGAGATAGATACGATATTAAATAAGAAAGCCTAGGAAAATAGAAATAGCTATAAAATAGAAATAAGTTACAGGATATTACCCAGAGACCCCTCTTATCGCCCTTACCGATATATAGTTAGTAGGAAGAGCCTAAAGAGCCCCTAGAACCACGTATAGGGGAGGGATCGAGGGTTAAGGGAAGCCCGGTAGATACTACCGGACGAATAACAGCCAGAAACGAGTCACAGGAAATAGTCGGGCATAAATAGGATATATTAGTTAGTTTATAGGATCGGGATTAGACGAAAGTATCGGTAGTTACGCGGACGAAAAGGACGGAGATTACGTTATATCGTATAGGGATTATTTCTTTCGTTTCTTACGGGAGCTACGCTTACTTTACTTGCCCCGTTATAGTTCCTATTTCTTAACTATTGATCCTTA